ACTAATCAAGTTGCTAAAGTGTAACTTTTTGTATCATTGCTTATACGTCATATATAATTAGATCCCTCTAATAGTAATGAATTTTTAGAACGTATCCAGGAAGGTGAGGTCGGATCTTTAACAGACAACATGCGTGTCTAAGGCCTGTTTTCGCAATATATGATACCTAAAGATTAAATGTTACTAGGAAATTCATGAATGAATTTCATTGATGAATTTCTCTTGGTAACATTTAATTTTTAGGTACCGTATATTGTGATAACGGGCTTAAGAGATATTATAAAACGTCTTTTCAGGACAAACATATCTAAAAGATATCATAAAGAGATCTTCTAGAGTCTAGAGAGAGAGAGAGAAAGAGAGAGAGAGAATATCTCTTTATATCTTTTACAATTATTGTTTAGAATCTAGACAATACGTGTTGTTTGGATTTATTCTATTTATCTTTCACTTGATCAATGTACAAAATGGATAAGAAAGTAAATAATGTGAAACTTCTTCTGTTTATTTATAGATAAGAAATATAATAAAGTTTATTAACTGATTTTAAATAATTACAATAAAACAAACTCTTTGAACGACCGACAGAATCGCAATTGCCTCCGACGTCACAAAGGGTTATTTTGACGGTCTAAAATCATTTTAAAATCTGTATAGCTAATTTTTTAGATACTTCAGTAAAATTGTTCTTTCCGTATGGCAACAGGCACATTGAATGAGATCGCGATGTTCCGTGATAACAATGCAAATCCAATATTTCCCATATTTTCAGAATAAATATATATTTTCATACATGAATATATACTATGTGTATGATTTAATTTTCCATATAAAACTAACACTACATTACACATTACATTTTAAATGTGTAAATCCATTTATGTAATATAGTATTATTTTTACACAGAAAATTCAATCACATAGAAAGAAAAGACCGGTTTTGCTGGAATATCTAAAAATTTAGCTAAATGCAAATCTAAAATAATTTTGTTTGGATTATCAAAATAATTATGCAGGATGCTTAAACTGATTATATACTTAATGCTTGTATCACACTAGTGGTTGGAGATTGCGTCTGCGTTCACATTTGCATCTCTTGAACAATCAGAAAAAAGCTGCTGCAATTGCAATTCCTTTCTGCTAATGCCTTTACAGGCATTGGAATGGCTGTTCAGCAGAGAAAGCAGATTTGCAATTGTTGTAAAATTCTTTAATACGATTGGTTCATACATTTAAATCCAATGAGGAATTAAACACAAGACCCATTATATTAAAGAATTTTACACAACAGTTGCAATATTAAAACTTCTTACAGCACATTGTGATCAACGTTTAAGCGTTTTACATAATTATTTTAATCTTTAAAATTATTTTCAGACCTGTATCTAGTTAAATTTTTAGCTTACACTTTAGCAAAACTATTCTTTTAGTATATATGAAGGTATTTACTTGAATTTACAGTGAATCCAGGTGAAACTCTCTAAAATTGAATTATCAATGGATAATCACTGATATCAGTTCTAAGTATGCCATTAGTAATCAATGAATGAAACATGGAATCTCTAATCTAACTAACCTTATATAGCCCTAATTAACCTTACTTTAGCACATGTAATATAAATTCAATGTATATGATATTGGAAGATTGGAATTGACATGCAAGTAACGGTATTTTAATTATATAATGTTCGAACTTCCTTTCTTTTTCAGTTGAATTTCACTGATTACCCAGTACCAAGTGTGCCACAAGATAATCAATTACCCACTAATTCAGATTTAGAGAGAGAGAAAAAGATACCCGCTGTTGGAGCATCCCGATGGCTCGTCGATAATCGCGATAAAAATTCTCCCATCGTCAATCGGAGTCGATAGAGAGTTCGTTGATGTAACTGACCTTCCTAAATCCCGAACGCTGAAAATGCGACCGTCGCGTTTTCGTCGCCGTCGCATGACGAACCGCATGCGAAATATACATATCGACCCGTGTTAATACGTGCGTCAGTGCAGCATGATCTGACTGGTGAATATAGAGACCGTCGTCGACCGCTTTATTTTTACGCGCGTGCTAAAGACGCTCTGTCACTTCGTTCGCCTTGCTTCGAATTCGCCGCGTACGACGGACGAGTGTGACGTCTCAATTAACGTTCTTCGCTGTCCGTCGCTCTCTTTCTGTATCCCCTCTTCTATTTTTTTTCTCTCTTTGTCTCCGTGGTCCTGGATTCCGTTTCGACAAGGGGACTATGGAATTCGGGGCGAGTTTCGAGCGAAGACTCGAGATCTCTTCTCGAGAATGGCGCTCTATTTATAGAACAGGGCACAAAGGGAGTAAAAGCAAGAAAAAATAAAGAGAGATAGAGAGAAATAGGTAAAGATATAAAAGATGAAAGAGGAAGGAAAAACGAAGAATAGAAGAGCCATCATTCTAGAATTCCTGCATCCGAACTCTCAGTCCCTTGTATGCTTCTCGGTTGCACCGTAATAACGTTATGAAAGTATCATTCTATTCATGCGTGTTATAAGAACAAAGAGACGAAGAAAGCTTCGTTTGGACTAGAGATCCTAACCGAGAGAAAAAAATTTTGATAAATATTTGCAACTATAATTACATTAATATTATTAATGCAATTATTTTATAATGTAATTATTAATGTAATTATATTATTAATATCTAATATGTGAATACGCAGCTAATTAATCTGTAATTTTCCTTATTAGTTGTATAATTACATATTATTATAATTATATTATGATTATTACCGCTATAGTAAATAATAATAACAATAGTTCTATCAACAAATATATATAGTTGGCAATCAAAAGTAACAATATAATGAAAGTTATTATTACCATAAGAACAATTACTATAAATTATAGTTAAATATTTTTGAGATCATATCACTGTTAAATCTAGAGTGTCAAATTTAACCTAATTTAAGTCGCCACTGCTCCTACTAATATATCGTTATTTTGTACTAAAACGACAGTTAAATTTGGCACTATAAATTTAATAGCATATGATTGTTCCAAAAAATATTTAACTAAATCGCGGCTCTCTAGTCATAGGATCTCTAAGGCTTGTTTCTACCAATGTGGATTAACTTTAATCTCGATTTAATTTACTCTTCTTCTTTTTCTAATCCTTGGAACTAGAAAAAGATGAAGAGTAAGTTAAACCGAGATTAAAGTTAATCTACAATTGGTAGAAACGAGCATAATTCGAACAAAATAATCGCCAGACGCGATATCGGCGCTTCAGTAACGGCGGAGCACGAACCGCGTGATTATTTCACAAATAAATAACAAAGGCAGGTGTAAACGAGGTGTCTTGGAAAGCACGATGGGGGGAGAGAGTCGGAGGGACAGAGAGAAAGAGAGCGCGAAAGAGAGAGGGAGGGAAAACAAAAGAAGTAGCGAACGCGAGCGAGCGAGCGGGACGACACGCTCGCTCACGCTCGTCCACGCACGAACAAACGCATACGCGCAAGCGCCTACGAGTCAGCTGGTTAAAAACAGCTGTGGCCGAAACGTGTCGACGAAGCGGACGATTTGGAGACGGGTTAAACGTCCGCCGCGCGAAAACGCGGCCGACGTTTTTGTTTCCCGACGTCTAACTCGCTACTCTCGCGAGTTCTCGCCGGCAATCGCCGGCAATAAATGCCGATTATCACGGCGGTTATTGTTCTCGATAAGCGAGCCAGCGATTCGCTACGTGCACGCACACATTTACAACGTTGGGTACAGAGTGCTGGAAAAAAAAAAAACTAGATGCACGAGCTTCGGAGTCGATAGTCGAAAGACGGGAGGGAGACAAGATTTTTTTTAATTTCAATAAAAGTTTAGTAGTCTATAAAAATAACGGAAAACGTTTTTATCTTTAATGAAATCACTTTTCTTTATAGATGTCCTTGGCCGATTCTTTAAATTTCCATGGAACTTTAGTGGTCTGTAAAAAATAATTGAAAACGGTTTGATTTTTAATGCAATCGTTATTCTTAAATATTCATAATTCCTCCGCCGATACAGATTTACTTATCAATTTAATAGCAATTAAAAAGAGAAACAGGGGAAGAATTTGCCACGGATATAAGACTTTTGAAAGACTTTTAGATTATCGTCTAAACAAAAACAACTAACGAATTCCTATCTTTCTGTTTACACCAACTAGACGTTAATCGAAAGAAATTAAAACGCGACGGTCGATCGTGTCTACATTGGGTGTCAAAATTAGAAAATTACGAAACTAGATAATTACTACAATAATTACTCCAAAAAAGAAAAGTCGATTTTCCATGCAGTATCGGAACAACCCAAAAGGTTCGGTTCGTTACATTCGTGAAACGAATCCGGAAACAAAGCGTCAACACAGAATTGAGGGAAATCATCTCTGACTGTGTGGCATGCTCCTTTTCTCATCTAGAGAGAAATATTTTCAATCTCCCCTTCACAAAGAGAGTTCCAGTTTTCTATCATCATTCAATAAAACAGAGCTCGATGGAAGGATGCCGAACCTCTCGCGTCGACCTGATAGACCAGGTCCGTCCAATTCGAGCTCCGGAGCCAAAACGCGAAGCTATCGACGCAAAAAGATTCAACGTGGACAAGATTTCGGGGACTGTAAAGTGTCGATACGCATCTGAGTGACGCTTATCAACGCTCTATAGTTCCTAAAATCTTACATTGAATCTTTTTGCGTCGATGACTTTGCGTTTTGACTCCGGAGCTGAAATTGGACGGACTTGCGACGGACCGAAAGGATGTCCGCGAGGACCGGAGGTCTATTCGCGCGTAACTTTTCAGCACCCTGTATAAAACACACGCATGCAGGCACACACATACATACACGTGCGCGCGCGTGCAAAGAGGATCGGCGCATTTGCGACTCGCTCTCACGTGCGCCGCCACTACACAACATATAGAATCGCACGAGGTACTTATCGGACGCAGCACAGAGGAAGGGGGGAGAGTGGGGGGCCTTTCATAAAGCAGCTCTCCAAGGATACAGTTTGATAACGTCCGTGTCCATGCGTCGCTTGCCGGCGCTGGGGGACGACATATTTATCGGTGCTGCTCGCTCGTCGGCGGTGCTGAGTTCGGCAGGGGCCCTTCCTCGCCCCGCGGCGCTCCTGGTAGCGTCCTCCACCACTACCTCCTCCTTCCGCCGCCTCCTACCGCTGCGCGTGGATCAGCTGAGCCCGACAGGCACTCCGTCCTGCCCCGGGAGGGCCCTCTGGACAAACGCCTCGTCAATTATCCTTCTTGAGCGAAGGGAACAATCGGCCAACTCCTCGCGGCCCCGACTTCGGCACTCCGGCGACGCGCACTTCTGTCTCCAACGTTAATATAAACCGAGCTTATATTCAGCGCACTAAACGACCGAGAGAGAGAGAGACAGAAAGAAAGAGAGAGAGCGTCAGTAGCGAAGAAAGGGGGGAGCGCACGGGCATACGAAAGGGGAGAGAGAGAGAGAGAGAGAGAGAGAGATGCACTCGGACGTTGCGCGACGGACGAAGAGAAGGAAAAGAGATAAGAAAAAAATAAAGACACGCTCGTAAACGCAAACAATCAACCAGTCGATCGACGGATCCCTTCCTCGGAGGCTCGCCCTGACGAAGGACGAGAACGCGAGGCGAGGTTGAGACGAGATTTCGCGAACGATCGACTTCGATTCGACGCGGGTGAACGCGATGTGGAACAATCCGACGCGAGGTGAAAACTGCGTTCGTCCGAACGCTGCGCTGCGTTGCGTCCGTCTTTCTTTTCTTCCTTTCTTCGTTTCCCTCCTCCACGAAGCGCGCTGTGAGCGTCGCGTGTGCGTCTCTCTCTCTTTCTCTCTCTCTCTTTCTCTGTCGTTGGTATGTGTATATAAACGATTCGTGCATCTCTCTCTCTCTCTCTCTCCCCCTTCGCTTGCTCTCTGCCCGTGAAAGAAAAATCTCAAGTACTACCAGACGAGAAGGCTCGTCCACCTTCTCTTTTAAAGGGTCACCTCCTGCTCGAAGTACTCCTTCTCGCGCGGACCAGGCCAAGGAAGCCACAACAGGGAGGCTAGAGGATCATTTCGTCAACGTCGTCGATGACGAGATCGTCGCGCACGTCGACTGCTCGTGTTCCTCTCACTCGCGGGTCGCTTTCTTTCTCTCTTCCTCTCTCTCTCTTTCTCTCTCTCTTTTCTTTTCCTGGCTCGCGTGCGCGTAACACACGGAAAAAACCGTCCCCGTCCTCCTGCCAGAGAGAGAGCCTAACGCCAACCGCCGTCGCGTAAACGCCTGTTCCTTCTCTCTCTTTCTCTCTCTCGCGCGCGCGCGCTCCCTCGCTCTCGCTCTCTCTCTCCTCTCTCTCTCTCTCTCTCACTCTCTCGTGCAACCCGCGACCTGTCAATCCACGATCTTCGCCACCATCTGATTGCGTTCTCGTCGCTTGCACACTGGACTCTCCTGGTTCGACCGACGCTGCTGCCTCCGACGAGCGACGGCAGCGGCGTTCGGCGCGTGCGCACGATCTCTCTGCGAAAATCTCTCGAGCCTCTCGAGTGAAGCTGTCCACGAATTTCCGAGCAAACGCACCGCCATTTTCCATCGCTAGCCGCGCGGCGGGTATTTTAACCTTCTATAACCCGGTGTGATTTTTAAGTCACATATTAATGTCCTAGTTTACATTCTGCACTTGATATGAGTACTAACTAGTAATTTTCTATTGAATTCTCTTAATTTCGGAGATACGTGTAAACATATGTATACATGATATGTGTATTTAATTAATCATTTTGATGCATATTGTACCAGTCTATAGTATATTATTGTTTAAAGTTTAAATACATTGCTGAAATTAAGATAATTTAATAGAAAATTATTAAGTAAATACGCGCATCAAGTACTCGGTGTAAAAGGAGTCGATATATCGATGTCTCTTATCGATTTATTTAATTTTAAAAATAATTTTTACATAATTATATAAATTTTTTTATAGCCACGAAAAAATTTGGGCTTAGAAGGTTAATACCGATATTTATAGCATGAAGAAATAGTTTTGCCTGAAGTTTATAAAAATTTAATTAGATATAAATCTGAAAATATTTTTGTTTATGCCATCAAAATAATTTATATAAGATCGAACTGATTGTTAGAATATTCAAATTTTTTGCTAAAAATTTGGTTAAAATAGATCATCAAAGTGATTACTCAAGCACGATGAGCAATGTTACAAAATAAATTTTGATATTCTAGTAACCAATTTGAGCATCCTCCATAATTATTTTAACGTCCAAACAATTATTTTCAGACCTTTATCTATAATAGCTAAATTTTTAGATATCTCAGCAAAACCTTTCCGTGCATAAATGCTTAAGCCCGTGTCTTACTACGCTTTGAAGATTGCGAATTAAAGTCAGAATTTGACTAATCAGATAATTTTAATTTTAATCCGTTTTATTCTAATTGGCTGAATTTTAATCTTCAATTTGCAATCCTCAATCTCTCATGCGTAGTGTGACACGGACTTTAAGTGTTCTACTTAATTATTTCGATAATCCAACGCAATTATTTTCAAATCTGTGTCTAGCTAAATTTTTAGTTATCTCAACAAAACCTTCTTTCTGTGTTCCTTTCGATACTTGAATACAGGATAGATGTTTATTCCATTAAATTTGCCATGTCGCACAAAATGCAGAAATGACTACAACAGATTCGTTTATTGAAAAAGTGTATAAAAATTATATAAAAATGTTACGAATGCAAAGCGGTGTACAGTATCGTCGGGATTATAAATACTTATAAATACAATTGTTTTCGATACAATATATAACTTTGTTTCTTTTACATAACGATGAAACGATGATTATTACTTAAACCATTAGAAAATCTTGGACTAATGATTGAATCGCTACTCGAGTAATAACGTGAACTAATTATTTTTATAAAGGTAAAAAATAATTTGATTAATATCCACTAGTATGAAGACGACATACGGAGAAAAACTCTATTGCACCTTACTTGTAAAACGCTATTTTGTAGTCAGTGTCTATATAATAAGTACTACATTAAATCGATATTACACGTTAAGTACATCCACATTTATCTAAGAAATATCATCAAACAGTTCCTGATCTAATTTTGAATAATAGATTCGTGCAAAAGTTCACTACGCCTTGTATTCCGTAGCGTATCTAAAGTGAAAGACTTGCATTAATACTTTATGTATATAACAATTTGTATATAATAAAAAACTGACACTATTGAATGGCAGACTTAAGTAAGTTGGCACATACTTTCTGTACGAAACTGTTACTTTCAAGATGCATGCCGTGGTAAATCATGAATACGAGCTCTTAATACTATCAATCATGATCAAATACGGTCGTGTTACAAATGATGGATGAATGCCCAATAATGATATGTATGTAATATATAATGTATACGATGTAGTAAGATATCATACGAGACTTCTTTATAGTTCGAATTACGAAGTAAAAATTATATTCTTCTCTTATACGCATTTTACTAAATATATGACAAATAAATAGGAGAAATATGTTTTTGAATTCTTTAGTATAAATTCATCGTCTAGATTTTTTCTTTATATTGCTAATTAACAGCAACAAATCTCTTACATATACACATCTAATGTTTATGAGATTGAAATGGAATGTTGCAATATTTTCAAATTTTCAATGATTTAATCCTGGTGAAAATTTTTCTCAAAATTTTTCATATAATTTTTGAGAATTTCTATATAATTTTTCAGAATTTCTACATGGAGAGAATTTTCTTTTAAAATTTATTGTAGCTTTATTAATGAATGAAAGAGATTTACATTAAAATTCTTCAAAGTACAATGTTGTCCCACGACTATCACATTTTCACACAGGGTAAACTATAAGAAAAAATTCTCTCCGTGTATATAATTTTGTAACTTTCTCATATTTTTTATATGAATTGGAACATTTCTCAGAAAATCTATATCTTTTCTCAAAATTTTTCACATATGTTAAATTATGAAATATCATAAGATTTCTAAGATTTTTTATAAATATAATTTCTGATAAAACTATATAAAATCTAAAAAATTTTTAAATATTTTTTGAAAATTATGGAATGAGAAATCTTAGAATATTTCTGAGTATTTCTGAAAAATGTTCCAATTCGTATAAAAATTATATAAGAAACATTTTCACTAGGGAAATAAGAATAATTAACTGTAAGTGTGTATAATAGTTACAGAATTTTTACATTAACAGACGAGTCACATAAAAAAAATGATTAGGGTACAGGAATACTATCGCTACTATACGCATATAATACTGAAAAAAATTCTAAAAATCTTATATGTAAAAAACATGCCAAGAAAAAATTCTTTAATCTTTCTCTCAATATAAGAATTTGATTAATTCATCAGCAAATAAAATACGCTTTATTCATTAGTAGAAGCGTTATAGAATTCTATGCGCAGGATGATAATATATCCATATAATACTGTGTAAATTCTATCCAGTTATAAATTAACTGTTGTTTACTATGTCTGACATTACCCAGAAGATATCGGTCTTGAAGACATTTAAAAAATATCTCATCAAAAATCTTTTCAAGATATTTCTAAAATATTTATTTAAAAATCTCCAACATTTGATATCTTTGATATTTCTAAAATATCTTTAAGATATTTGTATTAGAAATATAAAAGATATCTAAATGATTTCTCTTAAAAGATGCCTTAGTATTCATATCGATTCTTACTTTAAGACCATTTTAAGTAATATCTTAATCCTTTTGTATCACGAATTTTTATATAAGACCAATTTTTTTGAAACTTTGTATCCAAGCATTTTTTAGGTTACTGTTAACGACTCAGAAATGAGAATTTTACAATTCATTGACCGATTCAATATGGCAAACCAATAATTCAAATATATAATATACTTTTAGTAAAATATTTAATAAAGTATTTCATTATTTATAAAAATCAATTATTTTATAAAAGCGAAATATCCAGAAACTAAATTTTAAAACTATTTTTTTATAAAAAATTATCATCAATCACAAATAATTTGTCTGTGCATGTCAAAATCAGTTTTCTTATCAGGGCTATAATGAAGTTATAAATAGCAAAAAAATGGGAAAAATGTTATAATACTGTGTCTTTCGTCTAAAGATATCGATTAAAAATGCTATAAAGATATTTTAAATAAAATCCTTTTAAATGTCTTTTAGACAACTTTCAGATATCTTTTTAGAAATCTCTTGGATCTTCAAGATCTCGGTAATTTCTGAGCAAAGTCATTTCATCTTATTTGCATATAAAACATTTAATTTGATTTGATTGTCATTTATACAAAATTTTCTTAAATTTACATAAGCACATATATAGAAAATATTGGTATAACAATGTTTTTATGTCAAAGAGATGTTATATTAAAATAACATGATTACATTTATCGTGTTTGTTCTACTTCTTGGATTACATTTTTGATTATGTAATTTTAATTATTATATTTATATATTTATGTCGTGTTACGCTATAAATTTTTGTAAATGGTACAAAAAGCAGATCTATTAAATTCAGAATTTATGCTTTTGACATACCAATGAATATGAAGATGAAATGACTTGTACGTATATTTTCTTATTATAGATAATATGATACTATAAATAGATATATAAAAACATACAAAAAAACGTTGGAAGCAATAAATAATCAAATTTGGCATATAAAAATTATGTTATCGTAGGAGTATTATCAGTCATTTTCTAATAAATAATGAAAAATCTAAGTACAGTTCTACTTACAAGTTCTACATATAACAATTAAGTACATTAAGTGTTAAATGGAGTTTGCCGTCTTGTCCTGTTTCTTACAAAATATACACAAAGAGAAATATGTACTTTACTCCACTGCTGTTTTTCGTGCAAATGCAGTCAGAGACAACATCTCATTAGGATCAGTTGGCAAGGGAGAAAATTCGATTTCTTCACTAATACTGTTCTCTGAAAATTAAAATAATTTATTTTATTGCATGATGCAAATATGTCGGCAGAATTTAATAAAATTTAAAATAATATAATATACAATATATAAGAGAGAATAAATATGTATATTTCTAATTACCAGATGGTTCGATTGGCCATTGCTTATGGGAAGGCGCATACAAACATAATAATGCAATGATATAAATATTCCACATTCCATATACTCCGGTGAAGAAGGCAGAAGTCATTTCCAATTGTAAATCTTCGTCCCACTTCCACTGACCTTCCGCAACCTATTCCAGAAACATCACATATCATTTAACACAATTTTAAAAACAACGTTAAATACAATTAATATTATATATAATTAAAACGTATTGATTTCTTACCTGTCCAAGTATGAAACCAATAACAGTTAATGATGCGCATAACAGTGTGGCAATCATTAAAAATTTGAACCGATATATGATGCCTTCATAATGCAGGCGTCGCGCTGAACTCATGCTG